TGGTTTTCAGAGGGAGGAGGGCTAGTTTGGATCTCATTCAGGTGCGCTGTGTTCGGAGCATGGGCTCCACCTGGATCAAGGCTTCTGAAGAAGGCTTGGTGCTGGAAAAGGCTCTTTATGTAACTTTCCTGGGCCTGTGTTCCACTGGCACCCCTCTGGGGTTGATGACCCTGCCTGGGACCCATTTAAAACAAGGCCATTCAGAAATGTTTTCCTGCCTGCTAAACCTTAATCAATGTTTGAAAATTAAAAAGAATAATAGCTTATGTCTGCTCATGCACAAAAATGTTCGCTGACTCTCCTAACCCAGTGCCTGAGCTTGTGCTGTGAGTTCTTGCATTTAGGCCAGGCCCCCACTGGGCTTTGATTTTTTGAAGGCCACTGAACCCGGGTCAGACAGTGGAGGCTCACGACTATAATCCCTGTTTCTTGGGGAGGTGCAGATTGAGAGGTTTGAAGTTTGAGGCCAACCCAGACAAATCAGTTTGGGAGATCCTATCTTAACAGAAAAAGCTGGGTTCTGTCTGGTGCATATGTCATCCTAGCCACTTGGGAAATGTAGCTAGGGGATCACAGCAAGGCTCACTTGGGGCAAAATCAAGACCCTATTAACAAAATAAACAGCAAGAATGGCTGGAGGTATGGTTCAGGTGGTAGTGTATGTAATCTGCTTGTGAAGTAAACACAAATCCCTGAGTTCAAACCTCAAAATTGCAAAAAAACAACAAAAACCAAACAAACCAAAACTCCCAAACAACAACAAAAAACAAACAAACCCCCTGAAAATACTTTTAAGCTTTTAAGCTTCTAAAGATTTTTCCAGTCTACAGTAGGCCTCATTCCCAAATCATCTGAAATATATTAGAATGCATTTATGTTACAAGAACATTTATTTTCCTGAAAAAACTGAAACTTTAAAAATTTTTGTCCAGTTTTCTTTTTGAATCAATTGAACGTTGAAAAACTGTCAATAACTAACTGCCACCTGTTCCCCTGGTGTCTACTGAGACATTCCTTCTTGCCAGGTGAGATGTACCAATAGTTTAGAAATACAGGAGTTGTCCTGTGAATAGTAAATGCAATATGTAAGTTGTCCTGACATCATGGATATTTGGGATTGGTTAATTTCAGTTTTACTTTATTTTGTTAATTTCTCCTTTGTGGCTCTGTGCTCTTGTGAGCTCCAGCTCCCTGTACAGGTTCAACATGGAATGTTCTTTCACTACTGACTATGTGCCAAGCCCGTAGTGAGCCCTTCTTGCACACACACTTTTGAGTGCATAAATGAACAGCGGAGATCCCTGCATTTCATTCTAGTAGTGTCATCTAGCAACACACTCACCTGCTACCTTAAATGTGCAAAATTCCAGTGTCTCTGGATGCTACACTTGGGATAACTCTCCTCAACCCCTGGTGCTCCTGGGAAGTGATGGGCCTCATGGGAGGAAGTTAGGTCATAGGAGGCGTGGCCTCCAAGGGCCAATGGGAGCTGCCCCTCCTACTTCCTGTCTTTGTGTCCTAGCTGTGCTAGGGTGAGCATATAGTTCACGTGCTGCGGTGAGCTACCTCACCTCAGGCCCAAACAACATCCAACTTGATCACAGGTTGCAATCTCTGGAACTGAACCCCTGGAACCTTTCTTTTTTATTATCCCAGGTGTTTTGTTACAGTTATGGAATGATGACTAATACTAATTCTATACAGTAGATTGAATTTAGGCAAGAGCTTTTACCAGTTGAGCCACTCCTCCAGCCTTTATCCTGTAGTTTTTGTATTGGATTGGAAGGTTCTCTCCACATGGCTGAATCTGCTAGTCACCTCCTGATGTCCACTGTTCTTCAGTAGAAAACTTCAGTTTTAGAAGCTAACATACTGCCATCTAGTCAAGTGACTACATTCCTATCTCCTGAAAGTGGGGGTGGTCGTATGACCAATTTTGGCTAATGAGATTTGAATAGAACAGACAGGAAATATCCCTCTTTCTCTTCCCGCCCTTCCCCCTTGTGGTCTGGAATACAGATATGAAGGCTGGAGTCTGGAGCCCTAGCAGCCACCACAGGTCATGAGGAAGAGGCTGGTAAACAATGAGGCCCCGGGGTGGGAGGGGGGTCCTGACTTCCCTGAACGCTGTCCTACTGCCCCAGCCGGCCACTCTGCTCTGAACTTGTTTTAAGTGAGGAAAACCCACACTTCTGTTGTTTCTGAACCGATATCACTCTAGATTTTCCTGAGGTATTCAGCCAAACTTATTTGCTGCAGACATAGTGTTTGATATACGCTTGCAAGACGCCCTGGATAAATGGCTCTCTCCCTCCCCCGCCAAGAAAAAAAAAATGTTGAGCAGTATATGTAATTTTACGTGGGTAGGGGCAATATTTTTCCTTCGCACAGATCTTATATATTCAATGTGTAGGCAAAGTTGCTGCTGTGAAATTGTTTGCCACAGAGTCTGGACAGGATGACTTCTGTCTGAAAAATGTTTAGAATAGGAATTGCTACCAGGATGCTTGCACGGAATCCCTGATTGTACAGAGGATGGAGTAGCCCTCCCAGGCTGCTCGGATGTCTTAGCTGCTAGCTGCATCTACAACATAACCAAATCAGGGACCCAGTGGAAAGGCCAGTCCCCTGGGGTCATCGCGTCACAGAGGAGAACTGAGCAGACATAGCTGTGAATTCCCACGTTAGCACCAGCACCATGGAGATGCTCCTTCTACCATCAACTAGCCAACAGGCTCACTGCATGGGTCAACTCCCCAGGAGAGCTTGGAAGAGTCCCAAGATTTGGGGGCAGATGGAGGGTGCCCAAGTCCCACCATGCAGCAGGAGGGCAGATAGGCCTGACAGCTGCTCTGTTCTAGGACACGTCAGTATCAATACGATCTCTACACCAATTTAGAAATCATAAGGAAAAACAGATAAAATTGGACTGCCTGGATATAAAAGCCAAGGATTTCTGTGTATCTCAGAAAGCCTTCACAATATCAATACATTTGCTCCAGAAAAGTCTTTGCAGAGACTTATCTTCAGAAAATTAATGATGCATTAAATAATGTAGCTACAGGCAGGCCTAATATCTTAAAAAAAATTGCAAACAATTAGACACAGTGTTAAGTATTCAATCTGGAAATGCAAAAGGCAAATGAGTAGATCCCTGTAATGGAATACTTGTGTATTATTCAGAGATGAAAAATAATGGGATTATTTCTTAACATGGACAGCTGTTTGCTACATGCTGGGAAGTAAAAAAATGTCTGGTTCTGAGACAGAGAATACATGACTGAAGGGGCCCAACCCACCCTGTCAAAAAGGACTTCCTGGGGGCGATGTGAAGGGGCGGGGAAGTGACAGGGACATTTCCTTTCTTTCTTTGTGTATAACTGACTTTTCAAAAGTTACCTCTATGAACTACCTCTACTTTGTAGTAAAGATAAGACACAAGCCAAAAGCAAGAAATTCACCATTACTGAACCACTGGCAAAGAGTGGGTCTCATGGACTTTTCTGTTTTGTTTTGTTGGTCGTGGGGCCTGAACTCTGGGCCTGGGCGCTGTCCCTCAGCTCTTCAGCTCACGATGAGCGCTCTACCACTTGAGCCACAGTGCCACTTCCACTTTTCTGGTGGTTTACTGGAGATAAGACTCTCACAGACTTTCTTGCCCAGGCTGGCTTTGGATCGCAATCCTCAGATCTCAGCCTCCTGAGTAGCTAGGACTACAGGCATGAGCCACCGGTGCCCGGCTCTCAAGGACTTTTAACATGCCTGATTTCTGTCTTGAGGAAGAGGAAGAAGAGGAGGAGAGGAATAAAGGCAAATGGAGGAAGAGTAGAAGGGAAGAAATAAATGGAGAGAGAAAGGGAGAGAGGAGGACCAGTAGTGGGGAGAAAGAAGGATGAAGAGGGAAAGAGAGAAAAGGAGAGATAGAGGGGGACAAGAGCAGAGTATATGCCCAGAGAACAGATCAATGGAAAGGGACCCAGAGACACAAAGGCTCACCCCAAGATGGGGACACCACAGTGCTGTGTGAAGGAAGGGCCCATTACAGCTCTGTGGCCGGGTATTGGGACTGCTAGAGGCAGCTAGTGGGGTCAGTAGTGTTTTCTTTTTGGCTTTTGGTCAGCTATGTTCAGAGTTCTCCTTGAGATAAAAATGAAAGAGTTCTCAGAGTGAAGTTCCTCCCTCCTCCACGGCCTGCTCCCTGCAGGATCATTAGAGCAGCAGCAAGCACGACACAGCTCCCAAGGTCACCGGATCTGCCGGGGAATTCCGTGGAAGTGTCCCAGCCTGGCTCCCCCAGCAGCCCTGCTTCCCCTCTGCACACGCAGCCCGGCCAGACCGCGCTTCTCACTGCGCACGGACCTCGGTCTGCTGGGAGCCGCCTCCTGGGAGGCCTCTCCGGCCACCGGCCACCGGTCACCGGCCCGGTGGCCGCCACCCCCATTTCATCTCTGTGAGAGCGGCCTCCAGCTGGGCTGGGGCGGGGCCTGGCCCGCTGTGTGCTGGGCCCCGGGCCCGCAGGCGCCAGGGCCCCCAGCGGCCGCGCTCCCCACGGGCGGACGCCGGCCGACGCAGAGTCACCTTGCTGCGCCCGGCCTGCGGCCCTCCGGCCTGGGAGCCAGCGTCCGCCCGGCCTGAAGCTGCCCCGCACGCGGGCCAGCCTGGCCTGGGCCGCGCCCCGGGGCCGCTCTCACCACCCAGCGCCCCCCGTCCCGTTCCACGGGCCACGAGCTCCTCGCTGGGCGCCGCCCTCCCCGCCTCCCCCCCCCCCCCGCCTCTCCCCCCCCCCGCCTCTCCCCCTCCCCGCCTCTCCCCCCCCCCGCCTCTCCCCCCCCCCGCCTCTCCCCCCCCCCCCGCCTCTCCCCCCCCCGCCTCTCCCCCCCCCGCCTCCCCCCCCGCCTCTCCCCCCCCCGCCTCTCCCCCCCGCCTCTCCCGCCCCCGCCTCCCTCCCTCCCGGCCTCCCCCCCTCCAGCCCCCCCCCCGCTCCCCACACCGAGCCCCACCTGATGGTCTGGTGCTGCAGCGAGTCGGGGTCCGTGGCGTTCACCGTGAGCAGCACGCTGCCCACGGAGATGTTCTCCAGCTTGGTCACCGCCATGGGGTCTGGGTAGAAGACAGGACCCTCGTTGACATCGAGGACAGTGATGTGGACCGTCGCGGTGGAGCTGGGGCCGTAGGAGACGTCGGGGACCAGCGGCTCCTCGTTTTCCACTTTGATCAGCAAGGTGTGGAAGGCCGAGATCTCATAGTCCAGGGGCTGGGGAGCGGACGGGGAGGGGGTCAGGATGCGCATGCGCCGCCAGGGACACGGGGGGGGGGGGGTCAGGGTGCGCATACGCCGCCAAGGACGGGGGGGGGGGGGGTCAGGGTGCGCATGCGCCGCCAAGGACCGGGGGGGGGGGGGTCAGGGTGCGCATGCGCCGCCAGGGACACGGGGGGGGGGGGTCAGGGTACGCATGCGCTGCCAAGGAGGGGGGGGGAGGGTGTCATGATGCGCATGCTCTGCCAAGGACGGGGGGGGGGGGGGGGCGTGGTTGGGATGTCTGGATGCACATGCGCCACCAAAGACAGTGGTGGTGGTGGGTGTCAGGGTGCACATGTGCCGCGAAGGGCAGCCAGGGGGGTCAGGAAGCGCATGCGCCACCAAGGGCAGACTGGGCCCCCCCCCCTCCCCCTGCAGTCAGTTTGCGCATGCGCCACGAGGGGCGGCCACTTCGTACCCAGTCCCTCTGACGGGGCCTGAGCAGAGGTGGGCGCTGGGGACAGAGCCAGGCCTGAGGACTCACCTTGACCACGGACAGCATCCCCTCGTTGGTCTGCGGGTTGGTGTGGATCTCGAAGCTCTGCCCCGGGTTTCCGTTGATGATGGTGTAGGCGGCCCTCCACGCGCCCGTGGTGGGGTCGTCCTTGTCCTCCACGGTCAAGTTCACGATGACTCCCACGGCTCCTTCCTCCACCGTCGCTTGAAACTGCACACGAGGCAGATACCGATGGTCACTATTGTGTGTGTGTCCGTGTGTGTCCCGGGACTCGAGCTCAGGACTGGGTGCTGCCCTTGAGCTTTTTATTTGCGCAAGGCTGGGGCTCTACCACTTGAGCCATACTTCCACTGCCGGCTTTTTGCTGGTTAATTGGAGATAAGAGTCTTAGACTTTCCTCTGGGCTGGTTTGGAATGCAATCTGCAGAGCTCAGCCTCCTGAGTAGCTAGAATTACGGGTATGAGCGGCAGGACCTGGCTGTCATTATTAAAACAACAACAGAGTGGAGACTATGTACAGACCTCTTGCTGTATGCATGTTATTGGGTCCATTACACATAGCATCTAATTTAATAACTAATAGCCCAGGAGGATTGTAACTCCGCCTCTCAGATTTCCTTGGCCTTAGGTGAAGCCATGAGACTAGTCTCCCACATAACCTGGGTACGGTGTTGCTGGCCAGCCAGAGGAGAAAAGATGGTGGCTCTGAACCATCGGGGAAGCAGAAAGGAACTCTATGGTGGTGTTGAGTCTTTGCATTTTTATTTGCTTATGTTTTTGAGCCTTTCCCACCCCAGCTGCCAAATGATCTGATAACCAGAGATTTGGGACTTATAAACCAAGGTTTGGGGCTGGAAATGCCTGCCTTCTTCCTCATGAAGAAGAAAACCAGTTCCAGCCCTCCCAGCTCTTGGCCTCCAACTCATACAACTAAAAGCCCATTTGGTAAGGAAACAGATCAATGGTCCAGAGCCTGCTTGTACTTGTGTTTTTATTGTACTACATCTCAAATACTTGTTGCAAGTAGGTGTGGTGAAATCAATCAATAAATGAAAAATTAGCTGTCCCATGGACAGAGAATTTCATGAGCAATCATTAGCACATTTCCTTTGAGCTGGAAGCATAAAGTATTGTTCAAGTGCTTACCTCTGACACACTATGGGTGAATAGTAATCTGTTTGCAAATATTTTATAAACAGGTTAACACCAACGAGCTGACAGCAAGAAGAAATACCTTGGAATTTCAATTAGTAACAACGCGAATGTAAAGATGATGTCAGAAAGGCCTTGTGTTCCAAAAGGAGTAATTTGAGGAATGAGGTTTCAAAAGCAGCCACAGATTAATTGACTTTCAAACCATTAATCGTGAGGCTCAATCTTGGGGCCTCAGTGGAGGGGATGGGGCGGGGAAGGAACTAATTTGTCTATCATACCTCAGCAAACCTGGATGAGTTGTTTGTCTGCCATGAAAGAGGTGCTGGAAGATTCTGAGCTGGGGTACCAGGGTGGAAAACCTCCGGGAAAGGCAGGATGCCAATGGTGCTATTGCACGGAAATGGTCCCGTGGTGACTATTCTGACTGGATTTCTCTGATTCTTGGCTAAGGAAAGTCTACTGGTCTTCTCTCTGTCCCTCCTGTCAGAAGTTTGGAATTTCTGAGCTGGAAAACTCAACTCACAGTTCTCATCCAGAGGAGAATCGCCTATGGAGCTTAAAAAAATCCCTGGGTCCTATTTCAATTCAGTTGACCAAGGAAAGTTCTGGGAGTCAGACTTTTCTGCCCAGAAAATTCTAATACATATTCTAGGAGTAAGAAACAGGATAAGTCCAATTCTGAGGATGGCAAGCATGTGTCCACCTGACTGCCTGTCATTGTGGCTGGACCGGGCACTCTGACTAGGTATTGGGCCTGAGTGTGGTGCAGTACTTGATCGATTACTTCTGTCTACCCTGTGTCCAGGAGGGGCTGTGGAGACAGGTGCTCTCTAACCCCTTGTTTGCAGATGAAGATGGTGGCAGAGAGAAGAAAGTAAGGGAGACCCCAATCCAAAGTCTGTAGTGAACCAAAGATCAGACCTGAGTCTCTTGGATTCGAGTCATAGTTGCTACTCAGGCTCACTCTTGATAGCCATGTGCAGGCCTTCCTGTGGCTGTCCAGAGCTCTATTCCGGCCGGTCGCAGTGGACATTATCACCTAAGCTGTCTACAGGCTCTGACGCCTGTACCTTAGGAACAGGAAGGCAATCACACAGGCCTGCGGTATGCTAGACTAGAGCGTGCCGACCCCGTGCCAGGTAGAGAAGCTGTTACCTGGAATGCACGGGTGAGAAGACGGCCCACCTGTGCACCCACGTGTCACATGGCTAAGAGCACCGTACAGCTATGATTGGAGGAGGCGGGTGACTTCCTGTCTGCTTTATCTCCAGCCCCTCCCAGGGCGCAGAGAATGAAGGAGTGGGTGATCTTAGCTGGAAGTGGGAGCAGAGGGCTGAGAAGATGTGGAGGGAGAAGCCACACAGGAAAGACCCTGAGGGGCGGAGTCACTGACTGGTGCCTCCATTTGCGTGAATGTTCTGGAAGGCAGGGGTGCAAGGTCCTCTCCTGTTTCCAGCCCGTCTCCAGCAGAGCCTGCAGGATGACTTGTGTGGACTCATGGCACTTTGCATTCATTGGCCCCTTTTGCCATAATACATTTTCATGGGCTTTAAAAATTCATTTTTGTGATGTGAGGCAATTAACATTTGACTTTGAAAGTCAAATTTTGGTATGTTTTTTCTTTCTTTCTGATTTTGGAGGCCTACCACTGTGTTAATCAACCGTGCTTGGTCGAGAAGTCAACCCTGACCTTTAGCGCCTGGGTCTGCAGAGCTGATGAATGATGAGTAAACAAAGCCCTTTTGCAGCCATGTCTAAAAGACTCCCAACGACGAGATCTTCATGCTGCAATATCTTCTAAAGGGCTTGAATACAACACTGGCTTAGGGTGTGAGCAAATGAACCCAAGTAGAATGGGAAGGCGATGATGTGCTCAGAGTGTGCAAGCATACTGATCTCCCCAGTCCTTAAGGCAGTGAGGGGTTAACAGCCACATCTGCCTATCGTCTACCCATTTGTTGTCTACCCATTACTTGTTATTATCTATCCATCTACCTGTTATCTATCCATCATCCATCCATCCACCCACCTATCCATGCACTTACTCATTCATCCATGTATATATCCACCCATCCATCCAACAGTCCATTCACCCATCATGCACCCACCCATCCATCCATCCATCCATCCAAGTATGCATCTACTCATCCATCCAATTATTACTCATCCATTCATCCATGTATCCATCTATGCATCCATCCAATTATTCATCATCCATCCATCTACCCATCCATCCATCCATCCATCCATCCTCTGTCCTCTGTATATTACCATTCCTCTATACATCCATCCTCTTAACTACTCATCTAGGGGTACACTAGTAAACAAAGCAGACATGGTATATTTTCTCATAGAGATTATAGGCTGGAAAATATATAATAAATATATACTGATGAAATTATATTAACTGTATAAGAGGCTGCACAGTTCTTGGTGGGGGGTGTCTGTAGCAGTGTGTGGTACAGGGGAGGTATGTGATATAGCGTGAGCAGGACCAGCATGGCAGGATTTCCTGAGAACTGGAAGCAGAGGATGAGGTCACAAAGGTGAAGGGGAAAGAGCCCTCCTGGCATCTGGAACAGCAAGAGTGAAGGGCGGGCAGCAGGAGGAGGCTGTACGTTTGCACAACAGGAAGGAGGCTGTGGATGGACTGTGGATGGGACCAAGGAGAACTGTTTGGCTTTGGGTTGCTGAGATGGGTGGAGCCTTGTGAGCTAGGAAAAGGCATTTAGAATTTACTGTGAAAGCACAGTAAAGTCTAATCAAGGAACGAGTTTGTGTTAAATCTATTCCTAGATAATTCAGAAAAAGAAATCTTTAAAAAACACCATTCAACACAATTATGATGGTCATTGTTAAGACCATTATCTGATTCTTGCATAAACTATAAGCCAGTTTCTTTGAGTATCCATTTAGAAACTCATTATTGCTTAATTAAACACTCATTCTATTAATTCTATTCAATGTTTTAACTCCATTATGTAATTCACGAATGGAAAATTAAATAGATTAAAATGAAATAGTACCATTTTACATTTCTATAGCGATGTTCACTTTGTGATTTAAAAACAATAGACATTCATTTACCAAAGCACAGCAGAAGGAATTATGGATTGTAACATTACTTCCTTTAATTAGGAAAAAAACAAAGTTACTTTTCTGTCAAACTGCGTGTAAATCAAATACCAGATGTAAAACCTATTTTCGCACCACCGTCGTGGGCCATGGGCTGAAGCACGCCAGCTCTTTCAGTCTGGAAGCCAATCACTTCATTCTCTCTTTGAGAAGGTAGGGTGAGTGACAGGACAGATAATTAGTAGTGGGCTGTCTGGTCTGGACACAGAGGTCTCCATCAGGGAGAAGAGAGAGGGACGTGGATTTTTTTTTTAAACCAGCATACATTAATTGTGCAAAGGAATGAACATCACTGTGACCTTTCCACTCATGCATAAGTCATGTAACACATGTAACACATGTGTTACATGACATACCTTGTACCTTGTCTTGCCAATCCTCTCCCTAGATCCCCTTCCCAGGAATCTGGGGTGAGGTCTGGAGGTTAGTCTGGGAGGGGGATATGACAATGAGCATCCTTGCCCATCTGGAGAGCTGCAGCTGGGGGGAAGCGACGGCAGCTACCTTTATGAGACTGTACACACGCAGGCTCCACCTGCTGGCACCTGCTGGCACCTGGAGACCTGGTTCTCAAGCTGTTGGCCCTGAAGTTTCACAACTAAGAGCGAACTTGAAAAGCGAGGGTGTCCTCATCTGGGCCATGGTTTCACAAGATTACAAAATGAGTAAGAAAGATTTCTATGCCTACGTTCTGTGTGTGAGGATGAGAGATCACTGGAAATCTAACCAGCAAACACTTTTACAAGTCTATGTTTACACAGAGGATACCTACCACTTATTGGAAGAATCTAACCTCTTGCTGACAGTCTAATGGCCGAAGACTGTGGTTGACATAAATAAGATAATCCATTTAAGGAGCTTGGCACAATGCCTGGCATATATATATATATATATATATATATATATATATATATATATAT